AGTGTCAAATTTGACAGATTAGAGCAGTTTGATAGAGAAAAAATTAATCCTTATAGTCCATTTATACCGATTTAATTAGAACTTTAGAAAAATTATTGAAAAAATTATTTTTTGTAATTTTCATTGAGTTTTTAAATAGAATTATTTATTTTACTTAAGATCTAGAGTTAAACTAGATATATCAGTGGCCGATAATTCATAGCCTAGCCTTAATGCAAACTCATCGTCAATTTAATTTGAACTTTTAAAATAAAAGGTATAATTTTAAGTTAATTAGTAATCATGAAGATGAAAATAAATTTAAAATTTAAGAATTAGCTAAAAAATGATCGAAAAAAAATTATTGGTCTAATAATAAATAAGGCAAGTAAGTTAAACACAAAAACTAATTTATTTAATGTTTGTTTTTACATAGCAAAAACTATTAAATAAATAAATATACTATTTTACCCAAAACTAAGTATTAAATTTTAGATATTTCTGCATTTTGCTAAGCCTAAACCTGATGCTCCTATAAAAGCAATTTTATTCTTACTATAAATAAATTTTTTGAATTATTTTACGAAAGAAATTTTTTATTTAAACTAAAATTAATTTTATTTAAATTCAAAGTTTAAATCATTAAAATTTTTAAAATTTAGTTAAAATTTCCTTTATTTTACATTAATAAAAATAATATATTTAAAAAATGAAAATAGGCAAAGATTTATTTAAAAAATAAATAAAATATAAATTAAAAAAGCACTAGTTAAATTATTGTAAGTAATTGTTTTAATAAATAAATCATCTAAAAAAAGGAAATTATTTATACTTAAAGTTAAGTTCTAAATTTGAGATACTAGTGCTGTTTGCTAATGCAGAGCATAAGTCTGATACTCCTTGTGAATCGATGATATTATAACTTTTAATTTTATTAACATAAGAAAATGAAATTTATAAATTTTAAATTTAGACTTAAATAACGAATAAAATAAGCATGAATAACAAGAAAAATTAAAAAGCCAAAGATTTAAATAAATTAATTAATAAATAAGTATGCTATTTAAATTATTTAGTAACAAATTCTTAAATCTATAAATATTATAAATAAAATAAATTAATTTACTCTAGATTCAGATTTAGCTTTGAAAGATTTGTGAAACTTGCTAAAGAAAGACCTAGCTTTGATAATCCTTAACTGCCAATTTAGTTAAATCTTTTGGTTTATTTAATATTTTTTTATAATGAAAATGAGATAAAATAAATAATTAACAAAATATGCAGAAAATTTAAATAAGAATTTTTAAGATTTCAGTTAATTAAGGCAATAACTAATGAATTATTTATTTATTATTTTTGCAGGCTTTAAGTAAATAAATATATTTACGTAAAAGATAGTTTCAAGTTTGTGAGATTAAAGCACTTTGATAAGGCTTAGCATAAATTAAAACTACCTTAAGTTTCAATTTTATTTTAGCTTTTAGTTTATTGGTAAAAGGTTTTAGTTAATTCATTATTATTTTATATAAAAATTCATAAAAATGCTAAAAAATTTGATAAAGCTAAAAAAATAATAAAAGCTATTTTTACTTTAAATAGAGAACTAAATTTTAGAGATTAGAGAATTTTGCTAAAGCAGAGAATAAGCTTTATGATCCATTTAAACAAATTTAGTTTTTACTTTTTTTATTAATTTAAAATAAATATGCAAATTTAGAAAATGAGAAAAATATATTTTTTATTAAAATTAACTAACTAACTCAATAGTCATAGTAAAATTATTAAAATTAGTAAATATTAAATGCAATAAATAAAATTAAAATCTTTCCTCATAAATTGTTAAATAACTAATAAATTAAAGCTGTTTGTTTACCTTAAAAAGAGAGTTAAATTTGTAAGATTAGGACAATCTGCTAAAGCAGAAAATAAGCCTGCTGCACCAATTTCATTAATTTAATTAGAGCTTTTATAAATATTTAAAATAAACTAACTTCTAAATATAAAATAATGAATAAATCTATTTTAAAAATCAGAAATAAAAAAGATAAATGCAAACAAAAAGGAATAAGCTAGCTAACTAACTAACTAATTAAATATATTTCAAGCTAAAAAATAATTAATTATTCCTTTTAAGATAAAATAATCAAAATTTTCACACAAATTAGAATCGAAACAATTCTCTTACTCTAAATTAAGCTCCAAATTTGAGAGAATAGGTAATTTTGCTATTGAATTTCCTAGCACTAAAACACCCTATGTCCCAATTTAATTATCTCTTTTATTATATTTTTCATCATTAATATAAAATAAAAAAAATTTTAATATTTAAAATAAAATATTTAGAGCTCATTCATTTAACTTAATTAAAAATAAAATTATTTAAGAATTAACCAAAAAAGTTAAAATTTTCATAAAGCTATTTATTTATTTATTTCTTTCTTGGCTGGTTACATTTATTTTTCTTTTTTCAAATAAAAATTTTTTTAGTTTACTACTTCTATCTATAAAAAATCTTTAGTTTTGTGCTCAATAAGCACCCACCTTACTATTCATACAATTTTTATCAATCAATCAATAGTAAAATTTATTTTTGTTTTTTAGGATTTTTAAACTAAAATTTATTTATTTATTTATGTTAGAAATCATCTTAATAAAATATATATAATGAGCTTTGATTCAAAAATTTAGTTAAATTTAACTAAACCAAAAAAACAAATAAATAAATAAATAAAAAAAGCTAATTATAGTTACGTTATTTGAAGTGACAAAGATGAAAGATTAGTGCAATTTGCTAAATCAGAGCCTATCTAAGAAATTATTTCATCATCGATATTTTTTCTTCTACATAAATTTATTAAAGTTTTCTAAGATTTGAAGAAAATAATATGAAAAAAGAAAAACTAAAATTTAATTGTTTGTTTATTTGTTTGTTTGTTTGTTTGTTTGTTTTTAATCTAAAAGTAATAATTAAACTAATAAGAGCACAAATAAGCAATCAGATATTCAAGAAATGAAAAACAACAAATAAAATCAGGATAATTAAAATAATTTACCTAAAATCGATTTTCAATTATTAAAGATTAATGCACTATGCAAGAGTAGAGCTTACACATAGTATTACCTATGAATCGTTATTACTAAATAAAATAAAAGCTTAGATTAATTAATTTTGATAAATAAATATATTTAATTCATTAATTTGTTACAGAAAATGGATTTCAAGATCAACGTAATAAGAGAGAGAGGCATTTTTAAGCTTTTTGTTTATAAAAACAATAAATTTAAGAACAAATATTAATTTATTGAATTACTTCATCTATATTACCAAAGGATATTCTATTCTATTCCATATTACTTTTTTGAAAATTTCTTTATAAATTTCTAATTAATTACTAATATGTTAATACTTAATTAATGTTATATATATGGATTTTTTTTAGTTTCTTAAAATAAATTCAGATATCTTCAATTTTTTTAATGAGTTAATTAATTAAAAGAACAAATAAAAAAATAAATTTAAATATCTTCTCATTTTTTAATTAAATAAAAGAACAAATAATAAAAAATAAATAAATTGATATGTCTTCTATTTTTTTAATTAATTGAAAGAACAAATTATAATAAATAAATTTAAGAAAGTATCTTTTATTTCTAAGTAACTAATATAAAAAATATACTAATTTATTGATTAATTGCACTTTGCAAATTAAAAAATATTCATCGAAATTTATTTATGTTCGAAAAAATTTTCAAAATTTATTTTTTTCAAAAAAAATGGCATGTTATAAGAATATACGGTATGTATCTATTATTTCAAATTTTATATTTTGCGAATTTAAAGCTTTCTAAAAACTCAAAAATAAAGCTGTTTTAAGCTTATTTAGCTGCATTTATTATGTTATTAAGATATATTACATTTCGCCTTTTGTAAATTAAATAGGCATTTCACTCTATAAAATTAATTATAAGTTGATGATGAAAGTATAAGCAAATCTCAAAATTAAAATGAGCGAGCGAGCGAGAAGTATGTATGTAGCAAATATTCCTAATGAACAGATTCAAAACGAAGGACCAAATATTAATAAAGAAGAGGATGATAACAATAGTAATCATGAACATTTTTATTTTCCCCATAATTTTAAGAAATGAAACATTCATTCAAAATTAATAAATAAAATAATTGAAGTTAATTTGAAAGAAGATCTTTTTTTTTAATTTTTATTAATTAAGATAAGAAATAAGAATAAAATAAAAAGAAGGACCAAACCCTAAGTAAATGTCATGATTATTAAAAATTTTTGAAAGAAAACATAAATTGAATGTATTTTATATTAAATATTAAATAATTTTTTATAAATTTATTACCTTGATAACTTGCAAATGTTCACAAAATAATCTAATTTTTGGAAAATTTAAAAATACAGTTAAAAACTTAATTATTAGCAAAATTTCAGATATGCGACTTGCTAGTTGTGAGTTATTACTTTATGAAATAAAGCATAAACAGAATTTATATCTAAATTCTCATTTATTAAACCATTCACCCCTTCAAAAGCTTTTTTAAATTACAATACTATTCTATAATAATTATTTTTTTGTTCATGTCTTATCCTTCATTAATTAATTAATTGTGGCTTAGATTAAAAAATTTAAAAACTAAATTTTTACTAAGAGACAGATTTTTTTTATTTATTAAAGGTTAGTTAGTTAGTAAATTAGGTTTTGACTAGAGGTAAAAAAATAAGATTTCAAAAATTGATAAAAAATAACAAGATAGATTTCAAAAAAGTAAGAAAGAAAGAAACTGTTTGTTTGTTTTTTTAAATTATTTATTATTTAAAATTTAGCTATTTTAAAAAAAATTCATTTGATTGATGTTACATTACATAAAAGAATTAAAAAATTTACATAAAAATAAATATTTTACTTAAAAGGGATATAAAGTAGATAAAAAAAGGTAACAAAATATAATTTTTTCATTTTAAATTATCTAAATCAATTTTTTATTTTTGAATTTATAATCATAGTTCATAAATTTATTAGAAAATTTTATTATGTTTAACTAATTTATCTAAAAGACTGTTACTTAATTAACTATCAAGCTAAGAAGCAGCAGTTTATTTAATTTCACTATCCTCAAATTCATTTAAATTCATTATTTCAAACTCTTTTTGTAAATTATAGATTTTACAAGTTTCATCTTCAATATTTACTGCTAGATACTTGTTATCTGAAAAAAATGCTACTTAAGTAATTATAAAAGAAAAATTTAATCTTGTTATGAGTGAAAATTCATTTTCTGCATTCCGAATTTCACAAAAATTGTTTTATAGACCTTTTCTATATGGACTACCTGACGAATAAATAGCAAGATATTTGCAATCTGCAGAAAAAATAACAGAATTCATATCATTACCTTTTATCATTTTTACGAGATTAAATTTTTCTTTTATACTCCAGATTTCGCAAGTACAGTTACCACGACTAGTTGCAAGGTACTTGCCATCTGAAGAAATAGTCACTGATGTTAAATTATCTTCCAATTCATTTTCATTTTCAATTTCAATAGTATGTATTAGCTTAAAATTTTCCTTTGCATCAAATATTTAACATATTTTCATGAATGAAAAGGCTAGATATTTTTCATTTAGTAATAAATTAAATAACAAGAAAACATAATCCATTTTCAGTGAAAGTAGTGAAAGTGGAATTGTAGTAATAAGTTAAAATTAGTTTTAAATGTTCCATATTTTTATATCTTAGCCTATTAATGTAGCAAGAAACATGCTATCTGGGGAAATAGCAATCTTTTCAATGTATTATCCTACTTCAATTTTATCTATTAACTTAAATCCTTTTTCTACACTCCAGAGTCTTAAATCATTCTAAAACCAATTCGTAGTTACTAGATAATTACCATCTGAAGAGAAATTAGGATTTTACATATCATTTCTATAGGTTTAAATTATATTTATAAGCTCAAATCCTCTTTCTATACTCCATGATTCGCAAAAATAACTATCATTAATTACGAAATTTGAGGAAAAAGCAAAAGAGGGATTCTTGCGAATATTTTTTACTTCTGTCTATATGCTCTCATATCCTTTTTCTAAATTCAAAATTATGAAACAAATTTTATTACCTATTACAAGCTACTTTGAATCTTGGCTAAAAGCAGCTTACATTGTACTAACTCCAGGTAGAGATTGAATCATTATCTTTTTAACAAGTTAAAATCCCTTATCTACATTCCAAATCTTGCATTCATTTTCATTGATAACTTTTGGACATGATACAAGGTATTTACTATTTGCAGAAAATACAATAAAGCCAACATTATCCGAGTGTGCTTAAATTGTATCTAAAAATTCATATCCTTTTTCAACATTCCAGATATTAATATTACCACTTTTGCCAGTTGCTAAATATTTGCCATTTGGAGAAAAAGCCACTAAAGATATATATTAACTCTAAATAGTTTTTATTAATTTGATTCCATCTTAGATATTCCATACTTTGAAAGTGTTATCATCCCTAGAACATGTTGCAATTTACTTACCATCAAAAGAAAAAGCAATTGAGTTAATTTTTTTTTAATCATGTGCATTAATTGAATGAAGAAGCTAAAATCTTTTATCTACATCCCAAATTATACAAAGACAGTCAGAGTTAACTGTAGCTAGATATTTGCTATCTGCAGAAAATACAACTGAGGAAATATTATTATCATTTCCTTCAAGTGTGTGATGCAGCAAGAAATCTTTTTCAATATTCCAAATTTAGCATGTATATTATGAAGTTGTTGCTAAATATTTACTATCTCCCGAAAAAGTTACTTCATATATGTTTTTATTATGTCCTTTAATTTAATTTACTTGCCATAAACCATTTTGAATACTCCAAATATTGCAAGTATCATCAGAGCAAGATGCAATATATTAATTATTGGAAGAAACGGCAATTTAATTAATATATGAAGTATGTACTTGGATCTCAATTACCTTTTATAACTTTTATTATGTATCATAGATTATGCAACCACTATAAAAACAAGCTATTACATATCTTCCATCAATAGAAAAAGTCACTGATTATCTGTTTAAACTTTTTAATTCCTATTACTACAAGAATGAAAATCCCTCATTCACATTCCATAAAGTGCAATAATACTCTGATAATATAGCCAATTATTTGCCATCACTAGAAAAAGCAACTGAGATTATATCATCTTTATTTTAGATAGTTTTTATAATATCAAATTAATTTTGTAAATTGAAAATTATGCAATCTTTATTTTATGATTTAACTGCCAGATACTTTTCATCATTAGAAATTGAAGATACTGCAATATCATGTGGAAAATATTTAATATTCTTTATAATTTAAAGATTTTGTTAATTATAAATATTGATTTCTTTGTTTTTATAAGTGATTATTATATCCTTTAAGGAAATAAACGATTCAGCTTGAATTTAGTTTAAAAGCGTGAATCCTTTTTAAAAATCCCCTTAAAATATTTAATTGTTAATTAAATTAACCAAATATTATGATTTATTAATTGATAAACTAGATATATCTGATACAAATTTGAAAGAGGAAATTATATCAAAAGTTATGGAATTTATCTCAAACAGAGACTTTCTTGAATGAGTAACAAAAATACTTTTTGTGCTTTCGTAATAAATATTTTTCAATGGGATATTTGTAATCTGCTTTGACAATAATAATTTGAAATTATTTTCGCTTATCTCAAATTTATTAATAAAACCACTCTAATTTATTGATACGAGATGATTTTTTTATATTATTACTTTATAAAATTAATAACTGTTTTTTGAGTCCATTATTTTTTAGAAACCATTTAAAATTGCATTCTTCATGTTTGAACTTTCATATTTTTCTAAGTCTTGATTTTCAATTAAAGAATCGCTTAGATTGCACTCCTCAAACTCAGCTAGCTTTTATAATTGAGAATTAATGTATGCTAAGGAAAATGAACAATTCTTTAAAATCAAATTTGGATATAAAAAATTAGAAAGAAACAGAGCTGACAATAAATTAGAAGCTCCAATGTCTATTTTGCTCTTTTCAGTGTTTTTAGAAATTTTTGATTTCTTTAGGTATTAAATATATCTATTTGTTTTAGATATATCTTCTAAGCTGTATGTTTAGTAGAAAAACTATGATTTAATATCAGATTTCATAAGTTTATAAAGTTTTAAAAGAATTTATTGTTCTGATGCATTTTATTCAATGCTCATTATGATTCTTTTGTTTATGTTGAATTGTTCCAGTTATGAAATATCTAACTTAAATATATTTTCTTTATGTAGGTCAAAATCATACTTCATGGCTCTAGCAGCAAAATATTCAAAAAGAGATTTATGTCTAAACTCGAATTCTTGCTATTAATTTTCTTCAATTTTATAATTATATATTTAAGTTTAATTTTCTTTATGCTGATTTTTAGTGTTTTTTGCTTCAAGTTTCAATTAAATTCTCGTAATAACTCTAGAATCGACATAATTAACTAATTTTTAAATGATTTCATCAAAATCTATTTTATTTTCTTTGAAGAAAAGTGATACTTCTTTTCTTGGCTAAAATTTAATCTATTCTCTAGTTGTTGAAAGAAAGTTTGACTTTTAGCCCTTTTAAATAAACATATGCATAGCGATAGATTAAAAATATTCAAAGTAGCAAGATTCTACTTTTTCTGCTATTGCTTATCTTTGTTTGTCATTTAATGTAAGGTATTTTTATTATTGAACAAATATATGAGCTTATTTTTTGAATTGTTAAGAGAAAAATAACTCTTAAATGACAATCTAGTCTGAAGCTTGCTCGAAAGTGTTCAAAATTCTTTCGTCATTTAGGTCAATATCTAAAATCATTCTTGTTGTAAGATACAAATTGATTGGCAACTTTAGCAATTCAGTTAGTTAATTATTATTAGATATAATTTTTTAAAATTTTTCAAGCTGTCCTAAATCAAAATCTGTTTAATTTTCTTATTATTTTTAATTTTTATACTTCTCTAAGTAATCTTCAATGTCTTGTTTAGTTATTTTTTCCAGTTTGAAGATTGCATATGAATCACTATGACCTATGTTTCCTTAATTGTCGTAGTAATTAAAGTAGAATTTAGCATCAGAAACAGTGATTTTTTCTAATCTAGAAGTTACAATGACTAGAGTATTCACCCACTCGTTAAGATTTAGCTTTTGGTAAACCTTAAAATAATCACCTGTATATTCATCATAGCCATCAAGCATGATAAGCTTATTTCTCTCAGATTTCTTTAAATTATCAATATCTTTTCTCCTTATGTTTAAAGATTCTAAATAGTCTTCAATTGAAGGCTTTTCATTATCTAACGAGTTGCATTTAATTATAAATGGTATAAAATCAGTTCTGTTGTCACTTTTATATTTTGAATTATCACTGAGAATTTCGACTTCAATTTTTTTTAAGAGCATTGACTTTCCAGAACCTCCTTCTGCTAAAATTGATATGATTTTACATGTTGATTTTTAATTTAATTAATCATTTTTATTTGCTTCTTCTTAAGAAAATACAAAGTTAGGAATGAGGAATTTATCAAAAATTTATTTCACTGCATCTTATTCTTCTGTGTTAAATTTATTGCCATCTTAAAATGCTATCTATGCATCTTATTCTTCTGTGTTAAATTTATTGCCATCTTAAAGTGTTATCTAGGCATCTTATTCTTCTGTGTAAAATTTATGGCCATCTTAAAATGTTATCTATTAATTAACATACAAATGAATCGCTTCCAGCAAAACATCATCTTTATGGGTTATTTCAAGATTGTTCTATCTTTGCTTGACACTTTATTCCCAAATTTAAACAAAATATTTAGCTAATTGTTTGTCTAAATCTTTTTCATTTTAAATATCATATGCGAAGTTATCGAAATCTGACTTATCATCTAAAAGTTTAGTCATTTATTTTTTCTGCTAGCTAATTTGATTCAAAATTTGAGTTTTATCAAGTTAATTATCAATAAACTCAGCCATAATTTAATTGTATTCGCTCACAATCTTAACAGATTTTTATTTCTCGATTAAATAATTTGAGATGATATTATTCATCATGTCTTTAAATTCGTTTTAGTTTTAGACTGATAAGATTTAAGCAAAATGTAGAAGTAATTAAGCTTTTATGTATCTAAATTAATGACTCTATGCTATGAAATTAGCTAGACTTTTGAGCTAATCAATAATTCCATCAGAATACTCATTCAATTATAAAAACTTCTATTAATTGATAATAAGTTTTATTTTATTCTATTCTTCTAATTTCTAACGTAGTCCTTCAAAATTGTCCTTTATTAGCTGCTTGGATAGCAAATAATTCAATTGCATGTAAACAAATAATCGAGTGTCATTATTTTTAATTTTATCACACTCTTCCAAATAGAAAATAATTTCTAAAATCTGATCAGAAAGATTCTCTCCCATATATTAAACCTTTCTTAGCCATAAAGACAGCATATTGTTGGATATATTACTGCTATTGTAATCAGAGTAAACACCTAACCCTTAATTAATTGACCCTTCAACAGTATCAGAAGTTAATTTTTCTACTATGATTCTTATATCATTTATGAAGCCTTTCAGTTTATTGTAATCAAATTCAGTTAAATTTTTGATAGCACCTGCAATACTGACAAACCCAGCTCCAAACTTAGCAACCTCAAATATTTTTTCAATAATTTGTGTAGCCACGTGCTTATTTGCTTCATCTAAACCAACTCTTTAAGCATTCAAAGACTTTAAAATGTCAAAATATTAAAATAAATCTAAACACGGATGTCTCTCTTTATTTTCTTTACAATAAAGGATGAGTTTTTATAACTTATCGCTTATCTCATTAATATCAGATTGCACAGAGGACTTAGAATCGTTTTATTTTATAATAAGAAGATAGTTGATAAGTAAATTTATAATGTCTATGACTTTTGGTCTAAGTTCTTGCAAAATTATTTACTCTCTGAATTTAAAAAGTGTTTTTTCTATTATCTCTCTTACATCAGTTTCTAAGACATTTAAGCTATCTTATGCATCACTATATTCTTTGATGACAAAATATTTATTATATTTTGAATTAAATCTTTCGAATTTTCTATTAATTCGCTATTCTTCCTTAATTCTATCATCTTAACTCTAATTTGTTGTACTTTTAATTTTGATTTCTTTTTTTATCTGTTAATATGATTCTTCTGGTTTCACAGATTTTAGTTTTAATTTACTGCCACATATACCTCCACCTAAAATTTTATTCTTCTAAGCTTATTTATATAATTCTTGACATTAAAGCTAACTATTGTCTTTAAATTTTAAGTATTATATATCTGTTTAGAGTTTTAAGGCTTATAATACTTTAAATTAGTTATTATCAAAGTTTAAATAGCTAATATTTTATTCAGTTTCAGCCTATTTATTGATTTATTGCTAAATAGAAGTTTAATTTGAAGTTCTCTTTTCATTTGAATCAGTTTTCATTTAAAAGCAATATGCTTAGATCAAATTTTGTTTTTATGTCTAGCAGAATGTTTGATATGCTTTTTCTTCTAATAATTTATTTCTTCCATTATTGATTTACTTTTCAATTTTGAATCTGAATTAAGGAAAACTCAATTAATTTTCAGCGATATGAATTAATTTTCTATTGAATTTGTTTATTTGATTTTTGATAATTAAATTAATCAAATTCTGTCTTTATATCTAAGTTAAGGTAACTTTAGCTTAATAATTTCCTTTGTTAGTTTAATTATTTAAATGCTTTCCTTTTTACTAATGCTTTTTGACGTTTAATTTTTCTTTTATTATTGAATAAAATTCACAATTATTTTCATGGTCTTATTACTCTTTTAGTGAATTTTGATCTACAAGCTCTAATATTTCAATGTATTACTGCTAACATTCAATTTTCTCTCTTAAATATTCCTTTTAATCATTCTAAAACGAATAGCAATTAGGCAAAGAAATGCTCTCAGCTTTTAATTTTTTTTCATTTTCATTGAGATATGAAGCTTAACATTTTGATACTTAAAACTATTTCTAAGTATTCTATTCATTTTTTGCTTTTTCTTGGCTGCTTATTTTGCTCTTTTCTACTAGTTCTTATTGAAATTAACTAGATGGTTATTTTGAAGTCAATTTTTCTTAATAAGATTGCCAAATTTTATCTTTCAAGCTATTTAACAAAACTCTTTTTTAAATGCTCCCTCCATTTTAGAGGTATTTGTGAGCTAATAATTCCTAATAGCTTTCTACTATATCATCCATGATATGAGGAGATATTTATTTTTGAATTAGCCTCCTTAACTACTTCCTAATCTAACTCTTTTCTGTTTAATTTGTCCCATGGCAAGAAGGAAGATCTAAATATTTTTAAATATCTTTAGAGAATATTTCAACAAATAAATTCAGCTTTAATAAACACTTAATAATTTCATCATAATTACATGTTTGGAGATGGCGAGGAATATGCCCACTTATAACCTCTTCTTACAGCTTAAGAAAAGGAATTTTTTTGAAATTCTTTTTGATTTTGAACACACTTGTGCTCTTTTTTTACTTTAAAATGCATTTGCTCATTTTATTTAAATTTTGAGTTCTTAATTTTACTTAACACACTCTCATTTTACACTTATACTACTTTTTCTACTTATTGTTTTTGGTTATTAATTTAATTAGATAAATAATGTTTGTCTTCAATCTTATTAAAAAATCTTTGAGATTTGTATCAGTTAACTTTATTTAATTCACCAATATTTGGTATAGAAACGATAAAAAAACTATTTATTTTACTTAATTAAAAATCAAAAAATAATACAAAATAGATACAAAAGACAATCAAAATCTTCTAATTATATCATTAAAATTGCAAAAGCTAGTCAAAAATTGATGTATTCATTCATTAATCTTAATTTTTTTGTAAGTATCTTTTTTTAATGAAGTAATCGATCTTAGATTAATTAATTATGTTCTGATCAAATATATGTATATACTAACTCTTTTGTATGAAATATTTAAACTGAATTATTCGATGGCGGAGGTTCTAATATTTAAAAATAGATTTATTTTTAAATAAAAATTTAAAAATAATTTTAAAGGATTAGTATTTTTTTTACTAAATAAAAAAATAAACCTAGCACAAAAAAAGTGTTCAAATATATAAGTAAAAAATAAGAAAGTAGAATATAAAATTGTTAATTCGAATAATATGAATCATCTAAACCTACTCTTTAACAATAATTTAAAATTTCAAAATATTAAAATAAATACAAACAAGTATGTCTGTCACTCTTGGATTTTCTTTACAATAAATCAAGAGTATTTATAATTTTTCGCTTATCGTATTAATATCAGTTTGTACTGATGACTTAGAATCATTTTATTTAACAATAAGAAAATAGTTAATAAGTTGAGTTTTTCATGTATAATACTATTGGTCTAATTTCTTTCAAAACTATTTACTTTACTCTCTAAAATCATATATTCTTTATCTTACTTGAGTCATCGCTCTCTTCTTTGATGGTAAGAAATTCATTATATGATTTAAATTTTTCGAATTTTCTTTAAATTTAATATTATTCCTTCATTCTTTCTTAGCTCTAAATTTTTGTACTTTTGCGTTTGATTTCTTTACTTATTAACTAATACGAAACTGGATCCACAATAAATACCTTTTATTTACTGCAACAGATAATCTCCACCTAAAATTTTATTCTTCTATCTAAGCCTATTTATAGTAATTATGGCATTAAAGCTAATAATATCTTTAAATTTTAAGTATTAATTATATTTTTATAGTTATAATGCTTACAATACTTTAAGCAACTTATTATTAAAATTTAGATAGTTGACATTTTATTAAGTTTCAACATATTTATTGCTAAATAGAAGTTCTATTTTCATGTGTATTAACTTTCATTTTATAGTAATGCGTTTAGATCAAATTTTGATTTGAATTCTAGATTAAAATGTTTTAGCAAAATTATACAATAAATTTATTTGATATTCTATTGCTTTACCTATTAAATTTATTTTGAGCTGAGAAATAACAATTCCTCTTGGTTCATAATTTATTGTTTGCATTTAGGGTTTTCTTCTAATAATTTATTTCCTCCGCTATTGAATGACTTTTCAATTTTGAATCTGAGTTAAGAAAAACTTAATCAGTTTTCAACGATACGAACTAATTTTTGATTGAATTTTGTTTATTTGATTTTTGATTATTAAATTAAGCAAATTTTGCCTTAAAATCTAAGTTAAGGTAATTTTAATTAAATAACTTGTTTGGTTAGTATTATTAATTTAATAATTCCCTTTTTTAGTGTTATTATTTAAATGTTTTCCTTCCTATTAATACGTTTAAATTTTTAATATTTCTTTTACCATTAAATAATATTTGCAATTGTTTTCATGTTCTTATTACTATTTTTAAGACTTTTAATTGATAAAAAGCTCTAATCTTTGCATGCATTGTTGCTAACATTCAATTTTCTCTCTTAAATATTACTTTGTATCATTCTAAAACAAATCGCAATTCGTCAAATAAATCCGCTCAGCTTTACATTTTTTTTCTTTATCATTGGGATATGAAGCTTAACATTTTGAAAAACTATTTCTAAGGATTCTTTCTATTCATTTTGTATTTGTTGGTTGCTTATCTCTCTCTTTTCTAATAGTTTTTATTGAAATAAACGAGATGGTTATCCTGAAGTTGTCTTTTCTAAATAAGATTACCAAATTTTATCTCTCAATCTATTTAATAAAACTCTTTTTTAAATTCACCATCCATTTTTAGAAGTATTTGTGAGCAAAAAATTCTTAATACATTTCGACTATATCTTCACTAATATGAGGAGATATTTTTTTGAATAAACCTCCTTAACTACTTTCTAATCTAACTAACTCCTTTGGTTATGTGAGCTCGTCTCTTGGTAAATAGAAAGATATAAATATTTTTAAATATCTTTAGATAATATATCTATCTACGAATAAATTCAGCTTTAATAAATGCTAAATAGTATCATCATAATTAAATGCTTGAAGATGCTGAGAAATATGCCCTCTTATAACTTCTTCTTACGCTTAAAGAAAAGGAATTTCTTTGAAACTATATATGGTCTTCAACACATTTGTTCTCTTTTTTTACTTTAAAATATATTTACTCTATTTATTAAACTTTTAGCTTTTAATCTTACTTATTTTACTCTCATTTTTTTTCCTAATACTACTTTTTCTACTTATTGTCTTTGATTATTAATTCAATGAAATCTCTCAGTTATCTTTATTAAGTTCATCAAAATTGCATTTGGAAAAAAAATGAAAGAAAAATTATTTTATTTTACTTCATTAAAAATCAAAAATAAAATAAAATTAAAAATGTATAAAAAATATAACAAACAAACAATAAGACAGAGAGAAAGAATTTATTTACTTATATTTATAATATAATTAATAAAAAATCTATTTTTATCATACAAATTTGCAAAAATTAATCAAAAATTGATGTATTAATCAATCGAAATTTCTTTCAATTAAGTAGTTGATCTTAGATAAATTAACTATGTCATAGTAAAATATATTAAATCTTTTGCATGAAGTTTTTGAGTTATACTACTCTATATCATGAGGTTATAATATTTAAAAATCAAATGGTTATAAAACAAAAAAACGAATATTTTTGTTGAATATTTTTTCACTTTCCCTCCCTCCCTCAATATTTAATTTGTAATTTTAAATAAATTAAGAGGTTAATTTGAAAAAGGAGGTTTGTTAATTATTTCGTTATAAAAACTCATTTAAACAATAAGTAAAATTAAATTAAATGAAAATAATTTTGTTCAGTTTTTTTAATTGTGGAATTTGATTTAATTTTGTTAATTTTTATCATTGTGGAAATTAATTTGATTCATTTTTTTAACTTTGAGATTTTCATTTAATATCACATTTTCTCTTAGCAAAGCTTATTAAATAAATATAAATTAAAAATAAAAATAAATGGCATTTACTTTATCTCTTCGTATTAGTAAATTAGATTTTTGAAATAAATAGCATTTATTTAACAATGTTAATGTAAAATAAATAAAATTAAAAATATTTTTTTTTAAATGAGAAATTTCATCAAAAAAAAACTTACTTTTCAATTAATAAGTACTAATGTTCTACATTTTTTATTTAACAAAATAGAAGCCTCTATAGTGTTTCTCTCTCTCTTTTAAAAAAATTTTAGTTTTACATATTTAATTTTTATATTAATAAAAAAATTAATAATACTTCATCTAATTCTTCGTATTATTTAATCTATTATATCATTTATTTTTTTCAAAAATATTGAATAGCAATTTATGAAATTTAATTATAAATGGATAATAAGAACAAATAAATATAATATTTAATTAATTTCAAATATTAAATTATTAATTTTGTTTTATCAAGAGATATCACAGAAAAATTAATTTAAAATTCATTATTTAATCTTAATATTTATATCTAAAGCATATAATTAAAAATATATATTGTAGGAATTAGAGATGGCCGTTAGTTCGTTAGTTAATCATATTTGAATATATTCTAGTAATAAATTAATTAATTAAATTTTATAAAAATAATGTTTATAAGTAGATTTTTCTGTTTTAGCTGTGTAATAAATTATTTGAATATTTATTATATCTCTAATTATTCTCTAATCAAATTAGTTTTTTTTATACAACTCATTTTATTTAAGTATTTAACACCTGCTTAAATAACTTTTTAATATATAGAGTAAAATATTTAGTCTATAGTATGAAGAAGATAATAATTTTTATGTGTATTTAAGAATGAAGGTTTTATGGTAGTTAAACAAAATAATGTTAATGTATTTGTTTATAGCTCATAAAGGAATTAAATTCTAATATCCGAAGCTAAATAGGTAAATATCATATTTTAAAATAAAACAAGAAGAATTATTAATAGTAAACTTGAACTATAAATTAAAAAATAATTGATTTAAAGTTTCATAAATTTCAGCTTTAATATATTAGATATTTTTTAATGATTTTATAAAGTTTAAATTTTATGTAATAAAATATCTTTAATATGATTTTAGTTGACAAAGTGAGTATTAATTACAATATGTTAACTTTCAATTCTATAAAAATATATATAGTTTAACATATTTTGAGTGAGAAGATGATAACAGTTTTTATACGTATTTAAGAAAGAGAGTTTAATTGTAGTAAAACAAAATTAAAAATGTTTTTTAGTAAATATTTTTGATGATAAAAAAGAATTAATTATAAGACATATAAAATTCATGTATGTAAATACGTTTGCTGTGTTTATATTTTTATATAATTTATTTTTACTTAAAGACTCTTTTTTATCCAATTTTCATCAACAGTTAAAATCAAATTGATTTAGGGCATTTACCTTCTGTGGTAAATAAAACGTTCTTTACTTAGCAGCCGCTGCACCTGTTTTTGGAGTTGATAGCACAAGGATAGACCAAGCATTTAACTTCTTCATTAAACCAAGCACATTGAGGTTAGTCTTATTCAGCACATTCTTCAATTTTGAAGTCAGTAGGAGAGCAGAATTAAGCTTCTTCAAGATATTCATCACACTTACCTTCAACTGTGAATTCAACCTTTCCTAGAGAGCAAGCTTAGCAACTGTTAACAAAAGTTTCTTTGACTTGTTGTCCATTAATAGTTTTGATACCACAAACTTCTTGAGGGACACTTGAGCATTTGAAGGCTTTTTCATACTCTGGGCACAATTCTACTTTTTAGCAATTAGCAAGTAAAATAATTGCAGCAAATAAAACAAGAATTTTCATATTTTTAGCAGTTTTTGTTAGTCTATTTAATTATTTATTTATTTAATTAATTATATTTTTCCTTGTAAAAGTCTTGAAATTTAAAACCAATTATACAAAGAGATTTCTTAATTAATATGAATTACTATATAAATGATTCTATTTTATGTAAATGTTTTGATGTAATTTTATCAATAGTTATTTGATCACTTTTTGCCAATTTTATGTTAATTACTCTTTAAAATTTACTCTCTTTCTAAATTGAAGATATTTTAATTAACTAATCATTTTAAAAACTCAATTAAAAGTTAAGCAAATCTATGAAATTAATTAATTTCAAGATATTTAGTGAATAAGAATTTATTAGCTACAATTATCTTTATTTAATTCACTTAGACATAATTTATCAGTAATTATTTCGATATTTGCTAATTTTATTAATCAATAGTTACTATGCTTAATTTATTCTAAATCCTTTTCAAAAAATCAAATAAAAGTAAATCATTATTAAGTTTTCATTTAAACTAATTTCAAGTTGGTAATTAATTAATGAAGTAATGTAAGTATGAATTTAGTTAGATTTAATAATTTTAATTTCAAAAAGCATTATATTATCTTGCTATTAAAAAAGTAAAAAATATAATTTACTATAAAAAGATAGTATAAAAAATGTGATTAAATATAACATTTACCTGGCTAAAAATATCATTTTAATAATTAAACAGTATATTAATCTACTTTTTAACTTGTATTAAAAAAAATACATTAAACTTCAAAACCTTTTTTCATTTTGAAGCTTTCATTTAAACTAGTTTTAATTGGTATTAAATTAATTAATTAAGTAAATAAATAAGAATTTAGTTTGATTTAATAATTTAAATTTCAAAAAGCATTCCATTATATTAGCTTGCTATTAAAAAAGTAAATAATTTAATAAAATTTACTACAAAAAGATAGTATAAATAAAAAGATTAAAAATAACATTTATCTGGTTAAAAATATCATTTTAATAATTAAACAACATACTAATCTACTTTTTAACTTATATTAAAAAAAATATATTTTCATTTTGATTCTTTCATTTAAAATAATTTCAAGTTGGTATTAAATTAATTAATTAAGGAAATAAATAAGAATTTAGTTTGATTTAATAATTTTAATTTCAAAAAGCATTATATTAGTTTGCTATTAAAAAAGTAAATAATTTAATAAAATTTAATACAAAAAGATAGTATAAATAATAAGATTAAAAATAACATTTATCTGGTTAACAATTTCATTTTAATAATTAAACAGCATATTAATCTACTTTTTAACTTATATTAAAAAAAATATATTTTCATTTTGATTCTTTCATTTAAATAATTTCAAGTTGGTATTAAATTAATTAATTTTTAATAATTTAAATTTCAAAAAGCATTGCATTAGTTTGCTATTAAAAAAGTAAATAATTTAATAAAATTTAATACAAAAAGATAGTATAAATAATAAGATTAAAAATAACATTTATCTGGCTAAAAATATCATTTTAATAATTAAACAACATATTAATCTACTTTTTAACTTATATTAAAAAAAATACATTTTCATTTTGATTCTTTCATTTAAAATAATTTCAAGTTTGTATTAAATTAATTAAGGAAATAAGTATGAATTTAGTTTGATTTAATAATTGAAATTAAAAAAAGCATTACATAAATAAACCTAGTATTAAAAAACTAAATAATTTAATTTAATTTACCTCAAAAAGGTAGAATAAATAATATGATTAAAAATAAATTTATCTTACTAAAAATATCATTTTAATAAAACAACAAGATATTAATCTACTTTTAAACTTATATTAAAAAAAATATATCAATTTGAAGACCTATGTTTTCTGATGTTAATTACTTAGTTAGATTTTCTATTTGCAAAAGAACTTTTAAAAAACTTTCTATTAAGACGATACTTTTATTGTTTATGTTAAATAGTGATAATTTAATTTAAGATAAAAATAGATAAGTGATTTGCTATATTTAGATTTAAGCAAGTAACAAGAAATTAATTGTTGTCTAAATTTAATTTTTACTCTAGACTCAATTTAATTTTTCCGATCTATCTAAAAAAATTAAACCTTAATAAAAATGTTTACTATTTGTGATTGTAACTAAATTAAAGAAATTTGTAATATTTATTTTTGCTTAAAAACTCGGTACTCTATTATAAAGTTGGTTAATATTAGTTGTCTTTTATTATTGTTTAAAAGGGATTTATTTTGCTTAACCTATTATTATTGCTCACAAAATACACTTATTTTTTCATATTGCATGTAAAATTAAACAAAATCTTTTATATTTTATTTATCTTTTCTATAATAATGTTTATTTTAAACTTTATAAGCAATATTATGAGAAAATCCTCTATCTAACTTATAGTAGAATATATTAATTTTTAAATAAAATAAAATTATTTCAATTCTTCTTAATATAAATAAGAATTTTTGTAAAAAAATTAAATAAATTGATAACTAACTAAATAGAAAAAAACTAAACATATTAATATTAAATGGATAATATTCTAGAAAAACAATTAATTATACTAAAATCTATTTGAATTACATAATTAAATATATTTACTAATTGTTCAAAATAAATAAAATGTATTAAATTCTAAAAATTTATATCTAAAAATTAAAAAAAATACATTTGATGTAAATAAAATAAGTAACTAGACATTCATTTTATGTTGAGTGGAAATTAATTAATTTAATTTATACTTTCTTATTTACATACTTACTTACATAACATATGTAATGCTTTTAAATTATTATTTGTTGTAAACTTAAATATTTATTTAATTTAATTAAATCTTTATATTATTTTCAAATGCAAATCTTAATTACTCGAAAATAAAATAGTTAAAAAATGTTAATATTCTATTCACACATAAATACCATTATAATATCTCATTTAATATACTTAATTCATTTTTTTAAAATGTAAGTAAAACAATATCGATAACTTCAATGAAAAATAAAGTTCAATAAGAAAAATATAATTTTATGCTTTTTGAGTTTTTAAGCTTATTAGTAAACAAAATTAAAATTTTTTAATTATATATCATGCATATGCCATTTTTTTAATTTTACTAATTTTCAATAATCTTTCAGGTTGTTATAACATTTTTAATATTTTTAATGATTTAAGCTATTATAATATTTGAAATATTTATATATACTGTAAATCCTCATAAATTTTCAGATACACCACTCCCAATCTTAAGAATCATTTTTTGAGGTTTAAAAAAATATGTAAAAAAAATATAAATAAATAAAATATTACAACAAAGGTAATTTTAGGGTATATATGCAGATTTTTGCATTGTCTTAAAATAGAAATAAGACTAAGAAAATAATCATATTAAATATTATTATTTCTATTTCAAGTATAGAAAATAAATAATTTAGAATAAAAGCGAAATAAAAAAAAGAGAATCTTTAAATATTTAAATAAAATTTTATGTTTTACTAAATTTTAAGTTGCAAGTTCTTCAGATTAGCAATTTGAGTCAAATTTAATGCAAAATCTACCAAAACCAATATCAGAAATTTTATTATTACTACAATAAAAATATTTAAAATTGTGAAAAGTAAATATAATCAAAATGCATAATTGCATCACAAAATTATAAAAATATTAATAACATTAATTGGTAAATAAATGAGTTAATTTATTTTAAATATAAATATCTACTTAAAATCAAGTAACAAAATCTCAAACTAAATTAATTTTATCCAGGTTGAACTTAAAATTGATAAAATTTAATTGTCAATATTATTGTCACTTTTTTTTAATTTTACTTTTAATTTTCAATTTTCAATCATTCAATCAATTTGAAAAATTAAATAAACAAAAAATATTTACTTGAGAAGGAGTTATAATTTTTTAAGACTGGCGCGTTTCTATATACTCAATGCCAAGGTGGTAAAACCTTGTTATTATATCAAACTATTGCTTTAAATAAATAAATATTTCATTTTAAATCTTATTGATAAACAGAATTTAAAAATAAATATAAGAAAGAAAATCAAACTTAAAATAAATTTTTTTAAAAATTATTCATTTTATACCTAAGCTTTAAGACTTAAATCTTAGTTAATTCCAATAAATTTAATTCCAAAAGCAGAATATAATATAATCATTGATGAAGAAATTATTGTCAGGATTATGCTTATTCAGACTAAATTTTTATTTATTTATTATTAATAAAAATTATTTGTTTAACTAAAATTAAAAAAAAAGATTTTCTATATAAAAATTTATTAAAAGAAATAAAAAAATATTTGATTATTGTAAAAAATGTAAAATGTTTGTTTGCTACTCAAAAATAAAAGATAGATTAGAAAGACAGCTAAGATTATTTAAAAAGTGACCAAGGCTTGAGATAAACTTTTTGCTATATACTTAATTACTTATTTTAGAAATAATAAATAAAATGGATTTATACAAAACTAATGAAAGGCTATGAATTAATAATAAAAAAATTAATTGAAAAGTGTAAAATAAATTTAGTTATATGAGTATAAAAAGAAATAAAGATAAAATAAATTAAAATTTTGTTTGTTTTTAAAGTAATCTAAAATTAGCAAGCAACAAAATAAATGAATTTTTTTAAGAAAAATATTAAAATTAAATTAACTTTATATTAATTATTTAAAAATTCTGATTTTACTTTAAGTCAAAAGAAAACTCTCTCAGTTTAATTGTTTTTTATAATTTAAAAGTTCCATTCTAATTATTTTACTAACATACTATTTATTTTTAAAGAAGAAAAAATTGATCAAAAATAATTTAGCTTTATAAAATAATAAAATGAAAATGAAAAATACTTTTTTAAATTAAGATGTAAATTTTCTAGAGCAGATGCTTCAACCAAAGTCGAGCACAGATTTGCTAAGTCTGTCTGTCTGCCATATTAAAAATAAACTTTCTCAGTTTAGTTGTTTTTTATAATTTAAAAGTTCCATCCTAATTATTTAACTAACTGACATACTATTTATCCCAACTATTTATTTTTAAAGAAGAAAAAATTGATCAAAAATAATTTAGCTTTAAAATATAATAAAATGAAAATGAAAAATACTTTTTTAAATTAAGATGTAAATTTTCTAGAGCAGATCATTTAACCAAAGTCGAGCATAGACTTGCTAAAATATGTCTGTCATATTAACCATATTGTCTCTTTAAAATAATATTAATAAATTAAAATATTTATAGAATAAAATTAACTTCATAAATTTGCAGTAAAAGCTAAATCATGTAATTAATTAGTTACGAGAGAAATAGATGTAAATCATTCAGATTTTTGCATTTTGAAATATTCTAACCTAAAGCTATTGTCCCTAAAGATCCAATATTGTTGTTGCTTTTGTTATATTTAAAATAATAAAAAACTTATTCATAAATAAATTCAAAACAAACAAAATGTTGTTTGAAGAAATAATTTAAAACGCAAAAGTGTTTTTATTAAAAAAATAAATAAATAAAATTAAGAAAAATAATGACTTAAGGACAAATTTCGTTCAATAAGAATTAAATTGATTTCATTTCTTCAAATTAATAAAATATGTTTTTACATAAATAAAGTTATTTACCTCAAATGAAGATATAAATAAGAAAGATTATTGCATTAGCTAATACTTTATGCTAAATTAGATAAGCCATCATTTCCAATTTAATTTCGCCTTTTTTATTAGAAGAAAATGATAAGTTTTAATTTAGTAAGTAAACAAGAATTAATTAACTTAAAATAATTAAATTTAAAATTTTATAAAATAAAATAATTTATACTCAAGTATAAGAGATAACTTTTAAAGATTTAATAATTTAGTTATTAAAGATCCTAAACTTTATCCTGCCTACTACCCTATTTATGTATCGCTTTATTATTTAGTAACAAAAATAACTTAAAAACAATTAATTAATTGTAAATTAATTTACTTAAGATCAATTTCTAAATGAAAAATATTAGAACAATTTTATAGTCCAATGCATAATCCAGTTAAATCTTTGATTTCATTATAGCTATTTAAATACATTTTTTAATTTATGAATTAAAATATTGTTTTAGAATAATTTTTTAAAGAGAAATTTGATTAAAAATTGTTAAGTAACTTTTAAGTAGAAATTTAAATAAATAAATAAATAAAGTAATTTAACCTCATATCCATTTCTAAAATTTAGAGTTGATAGCAATTTTATAACGCAGAGCCTAAGAATGAAACTCCATTTTCAGTATAGTCCAACCCACTTTTAAAAATAATTTTTAGTGTTTGTAATTAGTTCATTTTAAAATAGTAAAATATAATAATACTACAAAAGAAAATATAAAAACTTTAAATCATTTTATTATTGTAATCTTCAAATATAAAAAACAAAAATAGATAGAGCATTGTTTAATTAAAAAAACTATTTCAATATTTGTATTTTTATACTATTAAAAAACCTGAATAAAATAATTAAAATTTTTCAAAAATATTTTGACTTACAAACTAATATATATAAAACATAACTGACATGTTAATTATTAATTTTTATTTCAAAATTTTTCTGTACATTATATATAAATCATAATGAGTTTTAAGATTTAGTTTTTTAGTTTCTTCAGTAAGCAATCATTTTTTTCACTAACTTATTGGTTTTAAGGACATTAATTTTTAATTATTTTACTTCAGATTCATCACTTTAATTCCATCTATAAAAAGTTAGTTAATATGATAAAATTTAGTGATGAAATAAATAAAAAAATTAATTACTAACAAACTAATCTAAATAAAAAATTATAAGTAGAAAATATAAATAAAGACAAAGAATTTATCATAATAAGCCAACTAACAAGTTCAGCAATGATAAATAAATAAATAAATAAATAAATAAATAAATAAATAAATAAATAAATAAATAAATAAAGACACTATTATTACCCGCTAATGTCAAGTGTCAAATTCGAAAGATTAATACACTAAGCTAATCCATAACCTAAGCTTGAGGCACCATCTTCACCTATGTAATTGTAACTTTTAATATATAAAAATTAGTGAGAGCTAATTATTTTGAGGAAAGTTAGGAGAAATTTTTAAAACTATGAAAAAAAAAGTTAAAAAATATAATTAAAGTTTTAAATTAAATAAAAATTTAAGTGAATGAACATAATAAAAAATAATTCACATTTCATATTTTCATACATATAATTTGATTAATTTATTTTTTGATAGCATTTACAGATTATAAAAATTCACATAAAATTAATAAATAAAATAATTATTTTACCGAAGATCAAGAATCAAAGTTGAGAGATTAGTGCATTTAGCTAAACCAGAACCCAAGCTTTATGCAACCTCTTAATTAATTTAATTATCGCTTTTAATATTTTAATATATTCTTTAATTAATAAGATATAGTTGGATCAAAAAATATAAAAACCAAGAAGAAAAAATGAATGAATATTAATAATTAAAATTTAAATTAAAATTTGAAATAAATAAATAAATAATTGATTAAATAAATGGGAATAAATACAAATAAAGATATTATCACTAATTAAGTTTCTTCTTAATCAATTAATTAATTTATTTATTTATTAATAAATTATGCTTCTAAATTAAAAAGTAACACAAATTTTTAATAAGGATAAAGTATTATTATTACCGGAGGTTGAGTGTAAAAATTGAAAAATTAGTACACTTAGCTAAGCAGCTATCTAAATTCTATGCTCCCTAGGTTCCAATATCATTGCCTCTTTTAAAAATTATAAAAATATGAGAACTAATATTAAACCTTTGGTAAATATTTCTAAAAATAATTATCAGAAAAATCTAATAAATGAAATAAAAATTTAAGCTTTAATATGAAAAAATTGCCGTAAAGATTAATAAATTTATTTAATATATTTTCCTAATAATAGTTACATTTATTTATTCCTTGAATGCTTTTTATAATTTATTAAATGAAATAAAATTTTTTTACTGTAAATTTAGTGTCAATTTTGTCAGATTATTGCACTAAGCTAAGCCACAAAACAAGCTTGATGCACTTTATGAGCAAATTTGATTGCTCCTATTAATTTTTAAAATAATTATGTGTAAATATAAAAAACTTTAGATTAATAAATAAAAAGTTCATAAAGAAATATTGAGAATTAATTAAATAAATTTTTTATTTTTTAAATTTAGAATTAAATAGATAAATAAGCATTTAATCATAATGAATATCTATCTGATTGATGAAAACATGTAAATATATTGAAAATTTTTATGTTATGTTAAAATTTATTTATTCATAATTTATTGCTTTTCGAATATAAAACAATCAAAAAGTGTTTGTTAATCATACCAAATAATTTTTTTACCTAAGGTTTAAAATCAAAGTTGAAAGATTGATGCACTGAGCTAAGCTAGAACCTAAGTTTGATGTACCTTATGAACTAATTTAATTACTCCTTAATATATTTAGAAAAAAATTTAAGTTTATAATGAAAATATTAAGAAATTAGGATAAAGAAAAAATGAATAAAAATAAAAATTGATAAATAAATAAATAAATTGGAAATTCAAAGTAGAAAAATTAAAGAATAAGTGAATTAAAACAAATAACGAAACAAAATAAAATAAAAAGACAATTCAAATCTAATACTGCTATTTTGTTGTTAATTAATCTATTTATGTACATACGTACTTGGTTTAAATGTCATTTGCAAAAAAATCTAAAGAAAATCAAATAAATAAATAAATAAATAAATAAATAATTAACTTTACCGAAGGTTGAGTGTCAAATTTGATAGATTAGAGCACTGAGATATATAAGAGCCCAATTTTTAAACCCCTTCATTACCAATTTAATTGTAACTTTTAATAAAGAGAAATATTATTTGATATGATAATATAAAATATTAAGATATAAAACAATTTTAATAATTAAGTAGAATAAATATTTTAAGTTAAAAATATAAATAAACCAAATGAGACAAATTAGCATTTAATTAAAATGAGACTACAAAGAAAAATAGCAATTAATTACTCAAAATTTTACTCTTTTTTTATTATTTATGTTGTTGTGATATCTTTTTATCTTATCTTATTGAATTAATTTCATATTTATATTATTTAATTTTTCACAATAAAATTTATTTAAAAAATGTTATAAATCAAATAAACTATTTTTTACCGGAGGTTGAGATTCAAATTTGATATTTTACTACACTGAGCTAAACAATGACTCAAATTTGTTGCACCTTATATACCAATTTAATTTGCTCTTGTGAGATTTAGAAAAAATATATAAGATGACATAAAAAAATTAGGATAATTATGTAAAAAAGAAGAAAAATATAAATAAATATTTGTTGCTAAAATATAAATTTTAGGTTTAAAAAATTAACAAATGAATGAAAAATAAAAGTTTATTGTCAAAATCAAAATAGAAAAAAGTAAATTATAATGGTTTGCTTGTTTTCATAATAATTTATTAGTTTATTAAGTACTTTTTTACAATAAAAGTAAACATAATACTAATAAATGCAATTAAAATTATTTATTTTTTTACCGAAGGTTGAGATCTAAATTTGAGAGATTTATGCACTTAGTTAACCATAACCCAAGAATTATGTGCCTTCTGCACCAATATTTTTGCTTCTTTTAATATTTAGAAGAAAGTCATGAGCTAATTTGAAATAGTTGGCAGAAAAAATAAAAATAATTTAATAACTAAAATGAAAGCCAAAGGAAAAAATAAATTAAAGAATATAAATCAAATAATTAATAAATAAAAATGAATGTATTTGAAACAATCAATCAACCCATTAATAAATTGGGAACACATTTATTTCTACTTTTTAATTCATTTATGTTTTCTATTCCAAAATCAAAAAAGTTTGTTAAACATAAACAAAAAAAAATAAATAAATTTTACTGGAGATTCAGTATCAGAGTTGAGAGATTAGTGCACTTAGATAAACAAAAATCCAAGTTTAATTCTCCCTATTCTGCACAAATTTCATTTTTCCTTTTAAAATTAATAAAAAATAAGTAAAAACGATTTAACTTTGCATGCTTTTTTTTGAATTAAATTAAAATATAAAATAAAAAATTATTACTCTAAGCTAATATGAAGCTTTTTGTGTGATGGTAGGTCAGAGTTTAATAACTTTTATATTCAAAAAATAATAAAACTTAATAAATATGAAAAGAAAGATTTACATCTTTAAGGTTATGAAAGGAAGTTATATTCTATTACATAATTTTTTTCTATTAATCAAATTTGAAAGAAATTTTATGAAAAAATAATAATTGATAATTAATTTAGATGAAAACTATTTTTAGTATTAATTAAATTTAGATAAATTTGAATTAGTCTAAAGAAGTAATGGGCATGCAAATAACCTTTAAAAAATAATGAAAAATTATTTGAATAAGTTTTAATTAAATCACAGAATTTTATTTTTTTATAATCTATTCAATTTTTAGGTAAGAAAAAAGTAAAAGTTTTTTTATTTAAAAAAGATTTAAATGCATTTTAAATTTTGTATAACTTAACTAATGAATTTAATTATTAGAAATTAATATCTTTGAGATTATTAAAGAAATTTTCATTGTATTACATAATTTTTTTCTTATAATGAAATTTGAAACACATTATACGAAAAAAAAATAATTGATAATTAATTTAGATGAAAACTATTTTTGTATTAATTAATTTAGACAAATTTTAATTAGTCTAAACAAGTAATGAGGGATGCAAACGACTTTTAAAATGATGAACAATTATTTGAATAAGGATCAGTAAATTTCTTTTATTATTTAATATAAATTACTGAATTTTATATTATTATTTATTAGATTCTACAGAAAGAAAAGAGTGTATCTTTTTTTATTTAAAATATCAAAGAAAAATAAAGATAAATTAAATAGAATAATGAAATTGCACTGCAATAAAAAGAAAAAGATTAACTTTGGTCCAAAAAACTGTAATAATTTTTAAATATTCTTTAACTATAACTTATAACTATCTATCTATATAACCATCTATCTATCTATCTAACTATATATCTATATAACTATCTATCTATCTAACTATCTCTTTAACTATCTATATATCTTACTATCTATCTATATAACTATCTATCTATATAATTATCTATCTATATAACTAATATCTATCTATCTATCTATCTATCTATCTATCTATCTATCTATCTATCTATCTATCTATCTATCTATCTATCTATCTATCTATCTAAATATAGGTATAAAATTGATCTATTGCTACTTAATGTGATGAATGTGAGTAAATCTAAATATTTATCTTTCTTTAAATTTTTTTATTATAAATAAGTGGGGTGCCTTAACATATAAATATAAATTTTTGAATTAAGGGAGTTTGCTATAATAACTCTAGGAAAATTCCATCCTTTACACAATAATAAATGCAATCTCCCCAACTAACTATTTAACACTTTGATTTTATTAGTTCTAAAAGGAAATTTTGTAAATTGATATTTGATTTAAATATCTAATATTTATTTGTTCTTTTAATAAAATAAACTCAATATAAAACTAAAAAAATTTTTTTAAATATTAAAAATTAATTAAATTTGCATGAATTAATAAAATTACGATTAAATTTTCTTGAAAAAATAAAATATAATGATATTATAAAATAAATATTTCTACAGTCTATAACGTGTAATTATTATTTATTTTTAATCAATATTTTATTAATTTATTTTAAAAAGTTTTTAAACTCTGAGCTTGAGCCTATTTCACTTCTTCATCTTGATCTTTCGTAAATTTAATTTATTATTATTAATCTTATTTTTTACAACTGTATTTATCATATTATTTTTCATGTTGATATTCTAATAGATATATTTTTTACATATTTAAATTATATTTAATTTTCATTGTTGTTTGAATTGATCATTAATTCGCTTTTATTATTCATTATTTTTTCTTCTTTTTTCCTTCTAACTAACTAGCAAATATATAACTAAATATATATTTTTTTAATTTAAAAAGTTGATATGAAATAGGAGTAATAGGTTCATCTGGCTTATTTCCAGCTTTAGCAAAGTGCACTAATCTCTCAAATTTGACACTAATCCTTGGGTAAAAACAGTTTATTTTTTTAATTGTGATATTTTAATATAGAAATGAAATTAAAACAATGAAACTATTTTAATTTATTTATTGATTAGTTTTGTTTGTTTGTTTTATTTATTTATTTGCTTTTTTATCTTGAATATATTTTTTTTCTCTTAATTAAGCTAATTTTTAATTCTCTAATTGTGGTTTTATTATTATTATTATTTTATTATTTCTGAAGTAGTAAATAAGTAAAAGCCATACATAATAACTGTAAATGCTTTTATATAATAGCAAATATACTTACTTATATATAAATTGTAATTAGGCTGATGTATTCTCTATTGGATAGCTCTTTTGACAGAAGCATTTATCTAAAGAAATCTTGTTGGAGTAGAATGGATTACCTATTTTGTAGGACTTTCCTCACTAAGATTTTATCAATAAAATACTTAATAAAATGGTAGAACCTAACAAATAGGTAAGACTTTAGCCTACTACACTTCTTTAGAATTTAAAGGCATTTGTTATAAATGAAGATTCCCTAAAACAGGCTTAGGGGGGGG